AAAAAAAAAAATAAAATAAATACTTTGAAAAAGAAAGACGAAACACGTCTTCTCGCACGTGACGAACCCGTCCTTTAGAAGAATTGTGGACGTCACGTGGCTAATTCGATGCGACTATACATCATTGTATGACATGATTTTGACTGAACCACGACTGTGTTTCCAAACTAGGTAAAGTTTTACAGAGTGAGTGAGATAAGAGGCAGGGGGGGGGGGGGGCGCCGCCACACGTTACCCCTCCACCTTTGGTTGTGGACCCACTTGACAACAAGCTGTGCAATCGTTCAGAGTCAATTGATTGGATTTGGTGGATAATCCAACGTACGTACATATGTCGTGAACAAAGCAAAGAACAAATAGATCTGTGAGAATAAGACGAAATACTGAATCAAGAGGAGTGAGTGGGGAGGCATAGAGGCTACTGTAGTTTCGGAACACAGCCATGGTCTCCCTCCTCCCAGGTACATGGCAACATCATCACTGCTCTTTCTTTCTCTATCTTTCTCTCTCTATCTGTCTACTTACTTATCTAATTATTTCTCTCCCCTCAGATCCGCTCTCCTCTCTCCCATTTTCTTTTAACTATTATCTATCCTTCTGTACCTTTAAATCCTTCCGTACAGATTTCATTTCTTCCTTTGTACCTTAAGTTTTCTCAATTCTCAATCTATCATCCAAATCATACATTCTCTCTCTCTCTCTCTCTCTTTCTCTCTCTCTATCTCTCCTTTCACTACGGCTCATGTGTTCATTCATTTTTCACTATTCACCCTGTCACTCGACGTGCCTTGCGTAAATTTTCTCTCTTTTTCACTCTGTCTCTCTCACACACACTCACATATATACACACTGTCTCTCTCTTTTTCTGTTTCTTCTTTGGTTTCGTCCCTGATTAAAAAAAAAAAAAAAAAGAAAGAAAAAAAACAAGAACCACCTTTCTGCTTGGCTGTGCACATCGATTGATAAGTTTGCCAAAAAAAACAAAGAACAATCTCCTTTCAAGATCGTGAGTCTTTTCTGATCGTTCATCATGATCTATCTTACTTCACGTTTTCGAATTTTTTGACAATCGTGCATCGAATCATTCTTTTTTTTTTCTGTAACCCACTTGCACATTCCCGCATCATGTCAGTAGAGATCACGCTTCGCGAAGTACTTTGGCCGGAGCTCTCTCGCGTTTTATGGGGAAAACGATC